AGGGAGGGAGGGAGAGGTACTGAAAAAGCAAGGTGGGAACACAGAGGAAACTTGTAACTACCTAGAAGTTAATTTAGGACAGTATCTGGTTTTACCCCGTCTTTCCTGTTCTGGAGTACTTTCATGTTACTGATAATGTTTAATCTTTATTTTATTTAAGGTGGAAAAAAATGAGTTAACACAAACTCTAATAAGTGGTTCCTTGTGCAAGCACATTTTCTTCTCACTGTTATCTCATATAAAAATGCTAACCTCGGGCTTCGTATGTGTGTAGCTCGGGTGAAAAAGTGTTCACGTAGCATGCGTGAGGCCCTGCGTTCAGTCTCCAGTACTGTGTTAAAGCAGGTCCGTGCCCGTTGTCCCAGCACTCAGGAGGTGGAGGCAGGAGGGCCAGATGTTCAAGGTCATCCTCCATTACACAGAGAGTTTAAGGCCGTCCTGGTTTATATGAGACCCTGCCTCAAAGGAAAAAAACAAACTTTTGATCTCAAGCATTTCTTTGTCCATTGGTAAGTGATCTGGGAGGTAGAAATAATGGACTGAAATGTGGGAATAGTCCTGAGCTGTCTGAAAGTCTATCCCATTGTGGCCAATGGAAACAGAGAGCCCCACTGACCTCACACCCCTCAGTGGAGCTTGTCTGCTTGGGAACTTCTTGTCCTGGGTACATCTTAGAAGAGTGTAAACAACACTTCATGATGTTAATGATTTTATGAGAGGAATGTCCCAGGCACTTCCCAGGAGCCCTATGGAAGCTACTGGTAGTGTCTTTCTTCTTCCAATACTGTTTTCAACCCCTGGCTTATGATGAATCATCTGAGGAACACTTATGTTGAATAAATGAAATGATGTGTGAAATGTATCATACTCCCTAACCTGACAGTTTTAGGAAAACACAAAGACACACACACACACACACACACACACACACACACTCAAATTCATGACATCCCTCAATCTAGTGGAAGCAAGGAGTATTAACTCCAAAGGCACAGATTTTCTTCGTTTGAACCTCATAAAGTACAGACAAAAAGCCACATGAAATGCTCAGAGCTCCCATGGTGGGCTCTGCTCTGAAGCTTCTCAAGAGTTCCCCACTCAGGACTCCTTTATACCAAGACATTTTTATGCCATCCGACATATACTAGTGTATAAAATAGGTATGCAAATCAAACATGTACTGAAATTTACTTTAAAACAATTCTTTAATATGTACTAAGGATAAAAAGCAAATTTTCATATTCATGAGATAAATGTGTTTGTTTGTACATAAAGAATTAAACCTTGGCTGAACATTGGACACTGCAGGACATAAAACATCTTCAATGCTTTTCGGAACTGATGAGTATTTTGTTTCTATAACAGTGCTGAGAATGCTATATCACATAAATATATAGTATAGAATGGCAGAAGTATTTTTAGGGCCATCCCACAAAGCACTGGGAATTCTGTCCTAACCCCAAGCCAAAATTCTTGAAGCCATCTTATGAATTCCAAGCCAGCAAATGTTTTGTTTGTCTGTTTGTTGTTTGTTTGTTTTTTGAGACAGGGTCTCATAGCCCAGGCTGGCCTCTCTGTGTAACCCGGGACAGATGACCTTGAACTCTTGACCCTCCTGCTGCTGCCTCTCGACTGCTGGGATTAGAAGCTTAAGCCACCATGCCTGTGTATATGGTGCTGGGGATCGAACCAGGACTTCATACACGCAAGGCAAGCACTCTCCAGACTGAGCTCTTTGTCCAGCCCTGGGACAGCAATATTTAAAACAAGCACTCGAACATAGTCCAATCCAAAAATACACTCACAGGATACTTACGAGCTGAGGGATGACAGCAGAGAAATATTGGAAGTCTTTGTTTTCCATAGTGAATCCATTATGTTTCTCTAAGAGCCGGAAACTATACGTACAGTAGTCACTCACTGCAATTGAGTGCATACAATGGTCTCGAGTCTCAGCGGAGGTGTGTCAGGGGCTTGTTCGATGGCGTGGCACAGTGTGACAGCCTGCACAGTGCAAAGTACGTGGGTTGTGTGTTCAGAACCAAGGCTTCAGGGAAGTTGCACAACGCAACTCGGGCACAGACTGCCAGAACCACCTCGGATCCGTTACACATCTGACTTTGAATTGATTTTTGATCGTTGCATGCTTTGCTGTTGCTGAAATTTTCATAACACCCATTAAGAGACTACCACATGGGATCATGACCCACAGTTTAAAGAGTAGGTTCTGGAGGACCTTTCCCACCTGTATTCTCCTTGAGAGATTGGCCAGCATGACTCATCATCCACCTAGAGAATGTCGCACCAGGAGGATCCCAAGCTCCAGGGTCGCTACCTCCTTATCTAGATGGGAATCTTGAAAGGGCTTAGAAAGTTCTGTGGTTTAAATGTTATCTCCTCTCAAAATTCATATACTGAAACCCTAGCTTGCAAGTGAGAGTACCCGGAGGTGGAGCTTCAGGAAGCAATTAAACCTCGAGGAACCGGGCGATTCTCATAAACCAGTCCAGAAGAAGCTCTGCACTTTTTTCTTGGCATGAGGCTTGGCAGGAACCGGAACGTAAATGTCTGCATTTAGATGCCTCTGGTGGGTGGCATTGTGTCAGAGTATCCCAAAGGGACTAAGACAGAGTAAGTCAGAGAGGAATTTTCAGTTCCAGCCACATAGAGGTACACTGCACAAAGAATCCAATGCTTCATCCATTCTTCTCTTTCTCTTCCCCACCTTGCCCACTCCCCCTAGATAGGGTCTCATTTTGTAGCCCAGGTTGGAATCCGACACGATTCTCCTGCCTCAGCTTCCTAAGTGCTGCGTTACAGATGTGTATGACACCCCAGCCTCTACTTGCATTCTTACTGTGGGATCTGAGCTTAAAGCCAGTCTTCACAACTCCCTCCAACAGTTTAAGCCAATGCCCACTCTTTCTGGGTAACGCATTCTCTGGCATCCTTAGAAAGAATGGTCATCTCACTAGGTCCCAAGAAAATTCTCCATCTGAGCACAGGAGGCTGTTTCCAGCTAAGTCCTAAGAATTAAGACCCTCCCACTCTCCTTCTTGGACAACCAGAGGAGCCTAGAACAGAGCCTGCTCTTTGCAGGGAGGAGAAAGCTTTCCGTAGCGGGCTGTCATATTCTCACCTCCCTTTCCTGTCTCCTACCCCCCACCCCTCCACCCCCCACCAGCCTATCTCCATGTGAAGCAGAGAACTGGACATCTAGAGCTGACAATTTCCAGGTGCCCCACCATCTAGACCCTAAAGGCGTTTTTAAAACTGATTGGGAAAAGGGGAGATAAAGAATTTGGGGGTACATAGATGTATGTCCCGGAAACTTCCTAAGCAGCAAACAAGAGTGCACTTCCAAGCAGAAGTCTTGGTGGCTTTTTCTACTACCTCCCCCTCTTCTCACCTACTCCACTGAAAGAGGAGGGGTATTTAGTCCCATGCTGCAGGCAGATAGGCAGACCCTTCATAAGATAAGAGCAACAGTAACAGCCATAACACCTTGTACCTTTGGAAACGAAAAACAAAAAACAATGCTGAGGCATTACCTCAGTTGAGGACCTGAGTTCAGTCTCCAGAGCCTATGTAAAAAGCCAGGCATGGTGACGTGTACCGTGTCATCCAGCACCAGGAAGGTAGAGACAGACTGACCCCTGGGGTTTGTGGACAAGTCAGCTTAGCCTAATGGGTGAACCCCAAACCAACGGGAGAGAGACCCTGCCTCAAAAAATGAAGTGGATGGAACCTGAGGAGGAATTCTCTACATATGCACATGCCCCTGCACACATGTATGCTCACACATGAGCACACACACAAATACACAAAAAAGAGAGAGAGATGATTTATACAAAATGTCACAACATGTGTAGTTATTATCTACACTATTAACCCAGCTTGACAGGTGAAGCACTTGATATTTAGAAGTGAACCCAAAGCTTTGTGGGTCCCCCAGAACAATCTAACCCCATCCAATGGAGAAGTCTGGCCCCCGACATATCACCACTTCCTCTGTTCCTCGGTGTCCCCCTTGACACCAAGTCCCTCCCCCACTTCTCCCATTCAGATTAACCCACAGAGGGAACTTCCTCGTGGGATCCCAGCCCACAAGTGAAGCAACCAGATCTTTAACACAGTAGACATTTCCCTGGGAGTGATGGTTAACCAGTATTGGGATAATTAGACTCCAGTGGCCGTGATTCCCTGAAGGATGAGAGTGAGGTAAAGGGAGTTATATCTGTGTGGGCTAGAGTCTTTCTCTTTATTCCTTTATTTCTGGCCTATATTACCAAAGTAGAATGAGTTGGGTCTGGTTTTGTTTTGTTTTGTTTTGTTTTTTGAGACAGTATGTCATATGTCCTAGGCTGACCTTGAACTTGCTATGTAGCTGAGGATAACCTTGAATTTCTGATTTCCCTGTCTTTACCTCTGGAGTTCTGGGATCATAGGTGTATGCCACCATACCTGGTTTATGCAGGGCTGGGGATGGAACCCAGGTCTTTGTGGATGCCAGGCAAGCGCTCTACCTACTGAACCACATCTTCAGCCCTCGAGAGCCGGTGTTAAAGTAGCATTAACAATAGCAGAAAGTTGTTTGACTTCACATTGTTTTTTAGTAGGGAACCTATTTTAAAATGCCTGTCTCTGATCTTTTCTCGCAGTTTCTCCAAACTTTCCAACAGAATAACGAAAAGAATAAGTCAGTGCTATTTTGTTTGGGAACCTTAAGTATTTTTGGAAGAAATTATATCATTGCTTTTCAAACCTGCCTTTTCTTCTTAAATATTAATAGACACACCCCCACAACCTCCACCACCTTGCGCAATGAAGAAAGAAAAGGACAGTCAGCACATCTGGGATGATGATTAACTAAGAGTTATAAAGAACTAGTATTTCACAGATCTTTTGTTTTTACTTGCTATGGTGATTTCAAACAGGGGTGGGATCAAGATTTCTTTTCTTTGCTGCTTTTCTTCCCCCTCTAAGACAGGGTTTCTCTGTGTAGTCCCAGCTGTTGTGAAACTCATTCTGTAGACCAGGCTGGCCTCGAACTCAGAGATCTGCCTGCCTCTGCCTTCTGAGTTCTGGGATTAAAGGCCTGTATCACCACCACCTGGCTAGGGTCGGGATTCTTAAAGAAAATTTGCGTGGTTTAGGGGATGGATGACTCAGTTAGTGAAACACTCGCTTTAGAAGCAGGAAGGCCTGAATTTGATCTTCATAACCCACATTAAAAAGCAATCCTTTAGCCAGACAGGCGGATCTCTGAGTTCGAGGACAGCCTGGTCTACAGAGCAAGTTCCAGGACAGCCAGGACTACACAGAGAAACCCTGTCTAAAACAAAACAAAACAAAACAAAACAAAAAATCCCAAACAAAACAAAACAAAAAAGCAGTCCTTTAATCCCTGAACTGGGGAGTAAGAGACAGGTGGATCCTTGGGGCTCATTATTTAGCAGAAATTCTGTCTCAAAACTCCAGGTGGATGGTACCTGAGAAGAAACAGCTAAGGTTTCCCGGCCTCCATCTACCCATACACCTCTGCACACATGTGCATCCACATAAACACACACATACATTTTTAAAACAGATAACGTGAGGCAGAAAGACACCAGATTCACAGGGAACAGAGTACAGTGGTTTCTAGGGAGTCAGGACTCACTGCCCGCTGTTACGGAGAATCTTGGTTCAGGAAGTCATGGGGGGAAATGCTTTGGGTTGATCTCTAATGAGGTAACTTGGCAACAGTGATATGGCGAAGTCCACCGTGAAAGCTGCTCCAGGCTGGTCTGCTGGGATTCCAAACGTGTGCCACAGCACCCAGCTTTTTCACATGAGTGAACAGGCTCAGACTCAGGTCCTCTGCCTTCATTTACCAGCTGAGCTATCTCATCCCGTAATTTGAATTAAACTACTATTCTAAGAAAATAGATCTCTGTTTTCATTCCTCAGGAGTTTGGGGGGTTTATTTTAGTTTTTGTTTTGGGGGGTTTTGTTTGGTTTGGTTTGGTTTTGGGTTTTTTTTTTTTTCCGAGACAGAGTTTCTCTGTATAGCTTTGGAGCCTATCCTGGAACTCATTCTGTGGGCCAGGCTGGCCTTGAATTCACAGAGATCCGCCTACCTCCAGCTCTTGAGTGGTGGGATTAAAGATGTGCACCACCACTGCCCAGCCTCCTCAGGAGGTCTATTGAACACATAATGAAGGTATGAAGTCCCCGGTAAGTTAAAATATCACTTGAGTTGGACAAGGTAGCACAAACCTGTAATCCCAAGTGCTCAGGAGACTGAGACAGGGTGATGGATTCAGCCAGGAGTTCGAGGGGAAAACACACACACACACACACACACACACACACACACACACACACACACACACAATAAAACTATAATAAAACTCTCAAACAACAACTAAACTAGCCTCCTCCTCTATGTCGCTTCCAATTTTTTGAGACAGATTCTCATGTAGCCCAAGCTGGTCTCAAACTCCCTATGTAGGCAGGAATGACCTTGAACTGCAGATTGTCAGACCTCCACCTCCTGAGTGCTGGGATTAGAGATGTGAGCCACCATCCCCGATGTGTCTGGTGCTGAGGATGGAACCCAGGGCTTTGTGCATGCTAGGGAAGCACCCTACCAACTGGGCTACATCCCCAGCCCCGACACAGAGTTTTTCTTCCTCTGTGGTTAAAGGCGAATTGATTTAATGAAAGTCTTGAGCCAGTATGGAGGAGGGAACAGACAGAAAGACGGTGTCTGACAGGACAGGGCTTGGGATCCTGGGTCTGGAGGATGCGCCTTGGCTGCAGGCCTGTCTTCTTTACTGGTTAAGTCTAACCACACTTCTCCTCCCGGCAGAGGTTCGGCTATGGAGGCTGGGTGCAGCTCCAACAGCAGGGCAAGGTGAGTTTCTCCCGCACATACCTGAGGGCCACCCAGGGATGGTATCCCTGGCTTAGCGGATTGTAGGCTGGGCATCCACGAAACTCAGCTCTTTCCTGCTTGCATTAACCTTGTAGTAGGCGAGGAAGTAGTCCTTCGGTTTCTCAGAAATAGTAGAAAAACTAGGGATGACTTCAAACAGCAACGTCTATGAAATAAAAACCAGAATTGAAACACCATTACAAAAAACTCATAAAAACTTTTTCTAATTTTGTTATATTCACCCTGGAACCAGTTTTAGCATCTACTGCTCTGCCCCAAGGATGTGACTTGGCCCTCTATACAGGTTTTTACAGTATATTAGGACTGAACAAATTAGTGGATTGTAGTTGTTTGTTTTACTATTTTTCCTTTTTTGGAGGGGCTGCCACCTAGTTCCCAAATAAAACAAACAGAGGCTGATTATTTTCTATGAATGCCTGGCCTTAGCTTAGCTTGTTTCTTGCCAACTTTTCTTAAATTATCCTGTCTATATTTTGCCTCTGGGCTTTGAACTTTCTCTATTTCTGTATACCTTTCTCTACTTCTTACTCTATAGTTGGCTGTGTGGCTGTGTGGCTGTGTGGCTGTGTGGCTGCGTGGCTGCGTGGCTGCGTGGCTGTGTGGCTGCGTGGCTGCGTGGCTGCGTGGCTGCGTGGTTGGGTGGCTGGGTGGCTGGGTGGCTGGGTGGCTGTGAGGCTGTGAGGCTGTGAGGCTGTGAGGCTGTGAGGCTGTGTGGCTGTGTGGCTGTGTGGCTGTGTGGCTGTGTGGCTGGCCCCTGGAGTCTTTCTCCTTCTCTCACTCCTAGATCTCTCTGTCTCCCCATTTATCCTCTCTCCTGACAGCCCTGCCTATTCTTTCTCCTGCCTTGCTATTGGCCATTCAGCTCTTTATTAGAACAATCAGGTGTTTTAGACAGGCAAAGTAACACAGCTTCACAGAGTTAAACAAATGCAACATAAAAGAAAGCAACCCATCTTTGCATCATTAAACAAATGTCCCACAGCACGAACAAGTGTACCATATCTTAAAATAACAATCCACAACAGTGGATTGGTCAGGAGAAACCAGACGACGAAGATGTTGAATCAGCTGACCCTGTGCTGTTACACAGATTTACTTACTTTCACTGCTCATATATTGCTTCCCTAGAGAGCCAGATTATGCTCCATCTCAAAGGTCTTTTCCAGCCCTATTGTGTCAGAGATATGACATTTTCTAGACACAAGTTGCCCTCCTGGGTCTCACAGCCAATGGTTCAGATCAGCAAGATGATGGATCGGGACATCTTCAGTCACATAGGTAGAAAGGGCTTGTCTCTGTGTTCAGCTGCTGGTACGTACCCACACAGCAGAACCCTTCAATACCAAGCCTGAAAGGCAAGAGACAGAAAAGCTGAGCTCCATTAAGCAATCGAATTTTTATCTCCATACTGATTAAGGAAAAAAAAAATCCCTAAAACTATATGGAGAAGAAACATGTTCCAAAACATTCTGGAAAGGATTAATCCAGGTTGAGGGGATAGCTCCATCAGGGAAGGTCTCGCTCGGCAAGCACGAGAAACCGAGTTCTATTCCCCAGTACCCGTGTTAACAGACAGACCTGGTGATGTGTGCTTGTAATCCCAGCACTGAGAAGGTAGAGACAGGTGGGTCCCTGGGGCTCTCTGACTGGCCAGCCTAGCCTGCTCTGTGAGTTCCAGGCCAGTGAGAGAAGCCACGGTGGACAGCCCCAGAGGAAGGACACCCGAGGCTGACCTCCACACACAGCCACCTGGATGGTCACACTCAGGAACGCAGGATTTATCCAAGCAGGTTGCCTTTGCTGATGTGGTTTTTCTGACTCAGGGAGAAGCAAGGATGATGAAAGACGGGAAGGTCTTCAGAGTGATCCAACAGAACTGCTGGGACCCAGAAGCTCGTATCAGAGAAATGGACCAGAAAGGTACTTACGATGTGAAATAAAGCAGCACCCACCCTTAAAGGTGATGATCACTTGATGTGACTTATAGGGTGGCAACTTCTGATTCCCATTTCCCCACCAGCCACAATGTTGACTTCAGTAGAGGAAGGAGGCCCGTTGCGAACCAATGCTTTTAGAGCATGGATTTGAAAGCTTTAAATTAGTTTAAAAACAAAGTGGTATACTACCAAAATGATAACAGTGCATGTTGTTACTTAATATATTTTTTAATTCTGGTTTAGCAAACAGCTCAGTGGGTAAAGCACTAGCAAACAGCTCAGTGGGTAAAGCACTGGCCACACCACTGTGCAGATCCACAGAAGCCACGTAAAGCCAGATGCAATAGTGGAGCACTGTGCAGATCCACAGAAGCCACGTAAAGACAGATGCAGTAGTGGAGCACTGTGCAGATCCACAGAAGCCACATAAAGCCAGATGCAGTAGTGGAGCACTGTGCAGATCCACAGAAGCCACGTAAAGCCAGATGCAGTAGTAGAGGTGTCTATAATCTCAGCATCCCTGCAGTGAGATGGAAGACAGAGACAGGAGGACCCCAGAGGCCCACAGGCCAGTTGGCCGGGGCACTACAATCCCTGTGCCCCTGGGGTGAGATAGTAACTGAGACAGACTCTAAAATCTCGTGGACAGCCAGTGGCAAGGGACAGAGGGGAAGGGGAAGATTGATACATAAGGTTGTCCTTTGACCGCCACATGCATGCTGTGGCACAAATGGTTCACACACACACACACACACACACACACACACACACACACACGCACGCACAAATAAATTTAGAAAAACTTTAGAAAGCACATGCACGCACATGCTCTCTTTTATCGTCTTCTGCCAACACCCTTCCTCCCTATGAGTCTCGTTCCTGTCCTCTTGTTGTGTTTGTGAGCCTCTGTTTTTTAACCAGGATCCTCTGTTTTTTAACCAGAAGGTTTAGAACTATGCACTGGAGTCTGGTGGGCTCACTATTGGCTACTCAACTGCAGACGATAACCATCCCTCCCCCAGAATCTATCAGTCTATCCCAGTCGTTCGGCAAGGTGGGTTCAACCCCGTGAGCCCCGCTGCAATGCGTCAGCCTGTCATTGACTGTGGACAGCACCAGGCTTGTGCAGGCCCACTGCTTACTTCAGATTTTTTTATTTTTATCATTTATTATTATTATTATTATTATTGGTTATTAATAATACTATTTTACACGCATTGGTGTCAGGTCCTCTCTGGAGTTACAGACAGTTGTGAGCTGTAATGTGGGTGCTGGGATTTGAACCCAAGTCCTCTGGAGGAGCAGTCAGTGCCCTTAACCACTGGGCCATCTCTCCCGCCCCAGTACTTCAGATTTTTGAGACAGGGTCTCATGTGCAGCCCAGGCTGGCCTTGAACTCACTATATGTAACCAAGGTGGCCCTGAAGTCTTGTTCCTCCATGTCCTCTTTCAGAAGTGCCAGAATAACCAGCGTACACCCCCAGGCCCAAGGAGAAATGTGTTTTATTTCAAAGTCCACAAAAAAAGGAGGCACTCTGGCAGCACCAAATGAATAGGACTGTCTTGAAGTTTGGAATTTGGTGGCATGTACTTTTGTCCACGGGCTATTTTTATCGTCACTGTTTAAACATGTACTCAAGGAACATTCCAATCCAGCTTTGGGGAAAGTAGGAAGCAACTCTGTGGGCCACTCCGCAGGGCACCTCTGTGGCCCTGGTTCTCAGTGGGTCACTCCACAGGGCACTGTGTGGCCCTGGTTCTCAGTGGGTCACTCCACAGGGCACTGTGTGGCCCTGGTTCTCAGTGGGTCACTCCACAGGGCAC